TTGTTGTTGTTGTTGTTGTTGTTGTTGTTGTTAACGTGTGACTTCAACAATAAGTTGTTATCTATCGTGAGTTCAAGACTTGGAGCTTCTGGTTTTGGCACAATCATAGCGTTCCCGCAATATATATCAAGTGACGATGTCGGAGCCTGCCTAGTAAAGCTAGAGATAATATGAACAATCTCCGTTTTTCCATCATTGAGAACCAATTTGTTAGAAGGAGACCAGGCTCTAATGTCATTAATGCAGGATTGAAGTCTTTGCAATGATTTTGACCTCTTTGAGTCCTTAAGTGCGATGTAAAACTGCGTGTCATCAGCATCCATCGAATGGGCACAGAACAGATCTTCAATTTCTGAGGTGTAYAAAGAGAATAATAAAGGCCCAAGCACCGAACCTGGGGCACGCCGCGGATGATAGGCTCTTTAATTGAAACGTTGTTGCCAACTCCAACAAACTGTTTGCGATGCGGCGATAAGTATGACATGATCCACGCTAATGCAGTGTTACAGAGACCAAACCGCTTTTCAAGCCTGTTAAACAGAATATCGTGATCRATCAAGTCGAATGCTGCAGAGAAATCAAGCAGCACGAGTACAGCTTCATATCCATTATCAATAGCGATGAGGTCTTTTTGCACCTTTAGAAGGGCAGTCTCAGTGCTATGGTTCTTTCGATAAACTGACTGAAATCTTGAGTAGAGGTTATTAGTGGATAAATAGCTATGCAGTTGTAACAATCAGGCAACAATCCACTTTCGACGCAAACGGTAAGTTAGAAATTGGTCTATAATTGTCTAACATCTCTGGATCGAGTTAGGTTTCTTGATGATAGGCTTGACACAGCTTGTTTTAACCGCAGATGGAAATTCACCAGATGACAAGGAGCTGTTAATTAAAAGCATAATTTGATCAAGTATCACGTCTAAGCATTCCTTCAGTATTACTGTAGATATAGGATCTAGTGAACACGATTTAGTTGGTGACTTTTTAATCACAGATTCCACTTGGGACGCTGACATTAAGTCATATTGAGACGATGTCGAAGGACAGGAAGTTACGGCCAGTTCAACAGATAACTCAATAGGAACGTCAGTAGAGCATGTTGCTGCCAGGTTGTTTACTTTGTTCTTGAAATAAGTTGAGAAAGCAGCAGGCGATTCCTCGTTACTGATAGATGATGGCAGTACAGCAGGCTTGCGTCCATTAGTAAGTTTATCCAACTAGCGAAATAGTGATTGCTGGTCGCAGGATTACAGTTTATTAATCTGATAGCTCTTCTTGGCTTCATTGATAAGAATAGAATAATACCGCGACTTAARGACCCGGGGTAGGTCTTATAAAGATATAGAAGAATGAGTGTAACGGCAATGTTTCCAGCGACGCACCAACAGAAGGATCTCAAACAGATTCACAGTGGCCAACAAGTTCTAAAAGTACAAATACTTAGGAGGGGGCGGTGGGGG